TCTCTCTCCAATACAGGGCCTCACTATGTATAAAAGGCTTTTAAACTCACTGGTCTCAAACTCACGGCAATCCTCCTGCCTCAGACTCCCAAGTATTGGGATTACATGCTTGTGCTCCAATGTCCAGCTTTTTTTTTTTTAATTGAATCTTTACGAAGGGCCCTGACCACCCCCATTTTTAGGAAGTAGCAATGGTCCCTACATCTTACCCAGCCAGCAGGAAGGAGAGACTGGAGCCTATATTTGTGCCTTTCAAAAAAAGAAAGAAAGAAGGTATCCCATCTTTCCTGGATCACTCATCTGTTGAGAATATGAGACGAGGAGAATGAGGCTGATGTTGAGAGAAAAGGGTAGATAGAAATATGTTACAGGGCAGTTGAGCACAGAGATGCACATGGGGTTGGCGTGGGGGGACCCACAACAGGAAACTGGACCCGCAGCAGGAAGCTGATATGTAGATCCTGAGAATGAATAAAGAGGTTATTAAGACTTGGGGAGCCCTGTGGAGGGGGACTTTGTTGATCCCAAGTTAAGTTTCCCTTCTAGGGTGACTCACTTCTTCCCTGTTAACAGTTCTAAGCAACCACTTAGAGCATAGAGGGACCCTCCTTTCATCGTGACTCACCCCAAAGAATGGGTCTTGGGAGATATCTATCACTGACCCCGACCCACTCGTGGACTGGATGCCTGGGTCCCCGGAGTGTGGGGGTAGAGGTTAGGTTCCTCCACAGATTCCAAGACCTTAGACCCAGCGGGGCTCGGGCCCAGGGGTGGGTTAATGTCGTGCGAGCCTGGCCTGTCCCCGACTCGGGGAACACAAAGGCAGCTTTCTCTCTCTGGGTGTGTGTGTGTGCGCGTGTTGGGGGGGTTGCTGGATGTCGCCAGTCCCGCCAGCATCCAATGGCCCATGGCACCAGAGCCGGGGCACCCATGGTCTCTGCCTGTAGACGCTGGGCGCCTAGGCCTTTCTCTGGACACCCAGGGCAGTGGGATGGGCTGCTGGGGCTCCGTGGAGGGCGATACAGAAGGGTAACTGTGGCCAAGACTTGGAGAAGCAAAAATGAAAGGAAGCTTGCATTCTTCCAGGAACCCCACGCTCAGGGTGACCCTCTGAGGGACTCCGCACCCCCTGGCTGGGCCAGAAGCCTGGAATCCAGGGAGTCCTGAGTATCCCAGGAACGTGGGGGCCACAGGGAGGACTTTGTGTTAGGCCACTGACTCACCCCTGGACGCCCCCACCTAAGGCCCCGGTCCCCAGACACTCAGGATACAAAGGACAGAAGGCAGGATCATGGTTCAGGAATCCAAAGTTTTCAAGAGGGGAGAAGCCAGGGTTCAGATCTCCGTATCTGAGGGAGGAGGGGCTGGGGTCTGGACCCCTGTGTCAGAGGAGGAGACTGAGGTCTGGACCCCCGGGTCTGAGGGAGGAGGGCTGGGTCTGGATCCCTGGGTCTGAGGAGGAGGGCTGGGTCTGGACCCCCGGGTCTGAGGGAGGA